ACTTTTAGTATTTATTTCTGTACTGATTTTCAGTTTGAAAAAGAATGTATTCTGTTATAGTGTCCATTATGTTTGCCTGGAAATGGTGCTTTCAAGTTCATATTTATTTATTTGTGTACAGATACAAGTTTTTGCCCAACTCTAAATCATGGCACTATTATGAAGCTATAAAAGTGTAATGTAACACTGAGTTTTTTGCTTCAATTTTCAACACTAGCACCTGTTAGGTCTTGTTTGGTTTAATGAGTGATGGGTTAAGGCAGCAGAAAAATGGTGGGGAAATGTAATAGTAAAATTGTTTTGCTTTGATTGGAAATGTGGAAGAGAAGGAAAATTCTATGATTATTGTTTGGTTAAAAGTTGGAGAGGATGGAAAATAAAAGGCTTAATTGCACCTAAAATTCTCACATTTTGTGTAATTGCGAATAAAATTTAACCTTTTTAGCCAAAAGAAGGACTCTGCTTCTTACGAACCCAACGGGCCCCTGTCCCTCGAATCATCTTTGCAAATAAATGTTAAACTTTTATTATGTGTTGCAAATTTGTCTCAAAATCATTTTACGGCCTATCCTTGTTGACATGTTCGATCAGATATTATACGTGACATTTATGAGGCTTGTGTGACATCAATCTTTGAAACTCCTCACTTGCCACATCATATGCCAACAAATTAACCAAAATTAGAGTTTAGTACTAATTGAAAAAATAGAATTTTATCAACATTTTTGTGCTTCATAATCTTCATAAAAATCGAGTTTTCCCCCAATTGAAAAAAAAAAATATTTGCAGCGATCCTTCTCTTCTCCATGGCGCGATTTTTCACCCCCAAAATCGAGTTCATCTCCAACATTTCGATTACATTTACGAGTTCACCCCCAAATTCTAAAAAAATATGTAGAGGGAGCGATTTTCGAGCTTTCTGATCGGATACATCAGCAAAATTGTCGAAAAATGGTTTTGAGACAAATTTGCAACATATAATAAATGTTTGGTATTTATTGCAAAAATAAAAAAGTTGAGTTTTATTTGTAATTACACAAAATGTGAGGATTTTATGTGGAATTAAACCAAAATAAAATAATTATTAGTTGTTAACATTGAAATTTGAATGATACATGTAACTAGGGACATAGTTTAGCGGTTTTGTTATAGAGCCATCGGATGACTCGACTTATGGAGACATCTATAGTTATTTACAAATGGTGTATTGACACGTGTACTGCAATAAATACACATTGGACATGTGTCAGTACATAAAGTTAGGCTCCATAGAATTTCTGCATAGTTTAAATAATGAAGAAAATAGTAAATTTATTGTTTGCCATTCTTCCTTCCTCCAAATCCTTTGATTTCACCAATGGCAAGGGCATTCAAATTTACTATGAGATTTTTAAAAATAATAACAACTATTAATTTGTTACTTTTCCCTAATTATGAAACCCAAATATGCAAACCAAATATATGTAATTGAAAAAAAAAAATCACTGGATTTGGGGCCTTAACTCAATTAATTAATTTTAAACGATTTTATGGTGAATGTCTAATAAATTTATTTATGTGTGATTGAGAGTGTTGTAACCAGAAATTCCAAGTTATTATTTATTGGTAGATAAATTTATTTATTTATTTTCATGTTTTGACATTTTCTTCAGTTCTT